AGGCACCCCACATTCAAGCGGGTGCCTCTGGGACTGCTGTTCCCCTAGCACTACCCTCTGTCCCCGACCTTGGAGAAACGAGGCAAGCCATTGAAGGGCAAGCCCCTGGATCCCCACGTCGGCAAGGTGGTGGGTCAGCAGCTGATGGTCAACCATATCAAATGTGGCCGACAGGTCTAACAACAACAGCACGGTCAAACTGCCTCGATCCAGATGCCTATGGAGGTAATCAGTAAGGGCAACCAGCACTGTCTCCATCCCATGTCCCCGGGCGAAAACCGGACTGGAATGGGTCAAGGACAGAAGCGTCATCCAGGAAGCTCTGTAACTGAGTCGCCCAACTGATTTGGGTGATTCTTCCTTCCTCTCTGATGTGCAGTGAGGTAATTAGTTATTTCTGGGTTTGTAGCAAACTATAGTTGAACATTATACCCAAGTGAATAAACTGGTTTGTGCCTGCCATGCAAACTAGGGAACCAAACTGTGACTTGTCCCCAGTCTGAAATCCTTTTTTTAGCAAAGGTGGAAACCATGTTTTGCTAGTTCAAATGTAACAGCAAACCATGGTTAAATTAAAAACTTAACTAAAGGTTTATTTACATCCATGCACACACACAAACACCCTGGCTTGTTCATTAGTAGCAAACCAGGGTTTGCCGTAACAATTGGACCAAGCTGTTGAGTATATCGTACTGTGGATTGTTCAGAAAGGTCCCTAAAAGAATTCCAGTCCACTGCAAACCACACGCTTGTGTGTTTTTTCCTTCTTTTGAAACCAACACGTCAAGTCTAACACATGTGTACTGAAAATGCCTTTCTTTCTGAATATGCAAAGCGATATTGCCATTTTGTGATTCTGTGAATTAACGGCAGCACACTCTTAAATGGAATTCTGTTTGAATTGAAAGAAATGACTCACCTTTGATTGTTTCATTGTGGGGTATTGTTGTGAAACTGCTCTCTCTCACTCTCTCTCCACCTTTTTCTTTTCTGCAGCATGATGATCCCAGGGAACGCTTCGGGTGTGGCCAAGCAGTTTCTCCGCTGCATTTTCCACCAGCTGGCTCCCAATGGGATACTTCCCCAGCTGTTTCAGAGCAACATCAAAGGTAATGGGCAATGCTTGAGATTTGATTCTGCCACCCTCCACTACCTCCATGCAGAAACCTTATTGAAAAACGATATTGTTCTTTTGCAGATGGAAGTTTTTTACGGACCCTGGCCACGTCTCTTATGGATTTCAGTGAGCTGAGCTCCATAGCTGCACTGAGCCAGCTATTAGAGGTTAGTCTACCATCTGTTTAACTTGCCTGTTGTGTGTTTCCCCTCCTGTTTCATACTTTCCCTGCTCTTACTTTGATCTTACATTAATAATAGTTGCGTGCTGTCAAGTCATGTGTTGTCATGGTGACCACTTAATGGCAAAAGATGAGCAGAGGTGGTTTGCCATTATCTTCCTCTGCATAGCAACTCTAGACTTCCTTGGTGGTCTCCCATCCAAGATACTAACCAGGGTTGACCCTGCTTAGTTTCCAAGCTCTGAAGAAATCAGGACTAGGCTGCGCAGTCAGGCTGCTTACTGTGATCTTACTAGGTGCCAAACCAGATGAGACACTGAGAGTGCCATGTCTGCAGCACCCAGTTTTTTTTTTGGGGGGGGGGGAGGATTTAGACCAGGTCCACAGTAGGAAGTTGGTATGTGTGTTAAGCTTTTTTCCTGATCTAATACAGCCATGGGCAACACCATGTGCTTTGGACACAAAGCTCCCAGGGTCTCATTTGGTTTGGTCCTAATACTAAGCCAAGCTATTCAAACCATTGTGGGATGGTGAACATCATCATGGTTTTTCATGCTTCTGCATTCTCGGAAATGTTTGCTCATTGTCAGCTGGGAACTCCATCAGCTCTTGAGTAACACACCGAGCCAAAACAATGTCAAGCTTTTAAAACTGACTTTAAAACAAAGCAAAACAGATTCAACAGAAGTTCTAACTTGTTGAAAAGGCCATCAACTAGGCTGGTATGAAAACCAAAAACCTATGAAAATTGAACGCAGTTGTTGTTCAGTCGCACAGTCGAGTCCGACTCTTCGCGACCCCATGGACCAGCTCCGTCAGGCCCTCCTGTCTTCCGCCATCCTCTGAAGTTTGCTCAATTTCATGTTCGTTGCATCGATGACACTGTCTAACCATCTCATCCTTTGCCGTCCCCATCTTCTTTGACCTTCAATCTTTCCCAGCATCAGGGTCTTCTCCAGGGAGTGCTCCCTAGTAATTTTTGGATTGCCTGATTCTCACTGATTTTGTTGAGAGTGTAATCTTTAAAATTAGAGCTCTTTGAACTGAATGATCCCTGAAAATCTTGCCTTTTGTCTTTAATCGTAGATGTGTAAGGGATAGCTATGCAGCTATGCGGTGATTCCACCCAAGAGAAGAAAGCCTATGGGCAAGAGGTTCTTCCATTAGCAGAAGAAAGAGCCTTTTGTGTCAGGGGAAAGTTCCTCATGCCAAGGGAGAAGTGCCACTGTTAGCAGAATCAGTCCACAGGATCTAATCCATACATATATCTATATCAGCTCCAGACTTCTTTCCCCTTTCCTCTATTCCCAGTGATGCCCCACATACATTGAATTAGTTCTCAGTTGAACTAAATAATTTGTATTTCTTTGTGTGTGAGAATTCTGGTCTTGTACAGTCTGTGCTGTTTGCTAAGTAACTTGCTCCTCACTCTTAATCTTTGGACAAATTTCTTCCTTTTCTTAGGGTTTAAACACCAAAAAGAATTTACCAGCAGGGGGCGCAATGCTACGCTGCTTGGAAAACATCGCCACATTTATGGAAGCTTTACCCATGGATTCCCCCAGCAACCTCTGGACCACAATCAGCAACCAGTTCCAGACCTTCTTTACAAAGCTGCCTTCTGTTTTACCCCTTAAGGTAGAGCCCGTGCCATCTAAGTGGGAGGGTGTCCTGCTTTCAGGAACTTGAGTCTGTGGCCTTTGAATTATGATCTGGCAACTGAACTGGTGGCTAAGAAGGCATCTTATATCAACACACATTTTCAGATTAAGAAAGGGTTGTCTTTCCATTTTTTAAAAAACTATATATTATCGGTTTCTATACTGTGCAAGGATGAATTGGGGGAAAGTTTTTTTTAGGTTGTGGGGGCTGCTTAATGCTTGTGGGTGCCAGTTTTGGGCATAGTAAAGTGGTTCTCATACTTTCGAAGTGGGATTGTACTTTTCAGCCCCTACTTTACAAAGCAGCTTCCTGCTGCTTTCCTCTTCCCCAACATAAAACCCAGGGACCTCACATCAGGCCACACCAAACAAATTTAGGATTTAATTTTCACAGGTAGATCAGGTAGTCGGTGATGTGGAAGACCTCTGCCTGAGACCCTGGAGAACTGCTGCCAGTCTGAATAGACAATACTGACCCTGATGGACCAATGATCGGATTCAATAGAAGGCAGCTGCGTGTTTTCACATTTATTATTTATAAATATGTAGCTGAGCAATGGGCTGTATTTCGTGACTATTTCACCTTGGCCATCAATTTCCCAAAACATCCTCTCCCAGCTCACCTGGCTCCTGCTCCTCACAATTCGCCTTCAAAAGGGTTATAACCCACTTTGGGGTGCTGACTCACAGTTTGAGAATCCCTGTCCTGGTCTAATTTTTTTTTTAAACCCTGTAGATTCTGCACTGTCCAACAACAGAAAACCCAAGGATTTAGAGTTTGGTTAGGTGTTTCAAGAAGGCACCCACACAAAATGGGAAGAAGGAATTGCTACTATGATATAGAACTCAATCTGTACACAGATACCCAGATGTTTGGGATACCCAATGGGAGCAAATACTGACTTGCTGGGGATATTTCAGATAAGAAAAAGGGTGCAGAAAGGAGGGCTTGTCACCCCCTTACCTTGCAAATGGAACTCCGAGGGTCCTGTGTACTCTTATTTCAGTCAGCTTAATCAGAGTGCCAATTAAATTCTGCAGTCTTCAAATTCCCCTTTCTTTGCATCAAGTTCTGTCTACAGAACTCCACTCACAGAACATGCTTTTCCCCACAGTCCTGTACCAGCTGTAGGGCCCTGCATGTGTCAAAAAGCCTCTCCTTTGCAGGGAACTATATGGGATGTGGTCCAGGAGGCAGCAACTCGAGGGGCAAATCCACGCAAGTCACAGTCCCTCCCCTGCTTTCTTCTCACAGAAGGGCTTATTTGGATTCAAGCTATCTCGATTTTCTAAATGAACAGCAGACCAACTTCTCAATAATGTACCTCAGAGAAGAGCATTCTGATTACCAGCTAGTTTCGCTAGAGGAGCACTTTGATAATGAAATGGGTGAGGGGTGGGTGGTGGGACCAATGTTTTGTCTTCCCCTGTCAGAATGGTCTGGCACCATCATTCCTTCCCTGCCTACTTTTTAGCTTTACAAAAGCCCTGTGAGATAAATTAGGCTGAGAGATAGTGACTGCCTCAAAGTTAAAACTCTGTATGGCTTGGGGCCAGCATAACTGAAGGACCACCTACTCCCATATAGATCTACCCGATGGCTCCAGTCATCCTCAGAGGCCCTGCTTCGGGTGCTGCCCCCCCATCTGAGGTGAGACAGTCGCAACCCGAGAAAGGGCCTTCTCGGTTGTGGCACGGAAACTTTGGAACTCCCTCCCCAGGGAGATTCATCTGTCTTCCTCTATCATTGTCATCAGTGAGTGGGAGAAGAAACGCAGCATAGCCATGTTTTAAATAAATAATTCTGTCCATCTGTCTAGCTTGCGAGCTACATGATCAAGCAGGGACTACTCTCTACAGTCCTAGTCAGAAAAAGCAGCCACTGAACTGCACAGGTGCTCTCGTTAAAGAAAGGTTCTAACCTCATTTTGTATCCTCCCCATTTATCCCCAGTGTTCTTTAGATTCTGGTTTAAGGATAATGATCTGTCTGCTGAAGATACCTACCAGCAGTGCTGCCAGGGTAAGTGCCAAAATTATACATTTAAACCTACTTTTCAGGCTTTTTTCCCTTACACCTCTTCAAAGAGGACATTATGGCTGAGTTAAATTGTGCAGTGTCGTGGAGGATGCAAGTCTGAGAATCCAGGTTATATTAGTCTGTGGGAGGGGTTACATGTATTATGAAAGTGGGAATTTATATCTTCCCAAAAGCTGGATTCCTTCCTTCCTTCCTTCCTTCCTTCCTTCCTTCCTTCCTTCCTTCCTTCCTTCCTTCCTTCCTCCCTCCCTCCCTCCCTCCCTCCCTCATTAGTAGACTTATCTAGAGCCTGATCCTGCCACTTGCAGATTTAGTGAAACCCCTGCTGAAGCCAGAAAGGCTTTCAATTTTCTTTAAGGGCTGTAGGATTAGGTAGCAAATACTGGCTAGAGGAGGCTGTGTTTTTAATGCTTTGCTCCTAACATGCTTAATAACTAAGTCCTGGTTCATATGTTTGTGGGCATCTCTTGACAACTTGCAGCCGACCATATGAACCAATTCCTTTGAAAAACATTGTGTGCGAAGCGATCTTGGAAGTTTTATCTGCACTGGTTGACCTGCATCACATGTCCCGTGCACACACACAAGCCACCCCTTGATGCTGCTGCAGCCAGCAAAGGATGAACTGGGCATCGGAATTTAAACATTTAGCTCTAATCTGGAGGAATGGGAGAGTTATTTCCGCACTTTGGTTCCCATAAAAGAATCAGATGCTTTTCATTGTTTAGGCCAGTGCTGGTCCATTGATAGGAGCTACGGAAGCTTCAGCGCCAAATTCTGCCTTTCTCCCTGGGGATCTGTCAGCAGAAAATGCTCCTGCTTTCCAGGAGTTCACTTAAGGTGCTGGCTGGGGAAGCCCTACGTGTTGTTCAGCTGTTTGGCTGAATTGGTTTGGACAGCTGCAACCTGCCTTCCTCCGAGGGGAAAAGGTGGGAGGGGGAGAGGCTTGGTTTTAATGAAAGATTTCGCAATCCAGGCCATCTTGCTGAAGGATGCAATGCACTGAAGTTACCCCGGTCTTTATTGAATTGCAGAGTCTGCTGGAGCCGTTTTCAAAACTGCTTAGTTTTGTCATCCAGAATGCTGTCTTCACCCTAGCCTACTTGGTAGAACTGTGTGGCTTATGTCACAGGGCTTTCACAAAGGTAACTGACTCTAGGAGTGGGTTTATTCCATTTGAAAATCGGGGCAGCCCCCCAAGTATTACTACCTTCTGGACAGACTGAAATTAAGGCAAGTTTTGTAATACATGCTTTTAAAAAGAAAGGGTGTGGGGGGGAAATGGCTTGGTATTCTGGTGTTGAAATTTTGCTCAACAAAGCTTGCCTGAATCAGACTTTGACAGTACCCCAGAAATGTTTGTGCAGTTATTATGTCTGAAACTTTTTGTTGCTGAATCTGGAGAAAATTCAACAAGGGAACACAAAAATATATCAGGGGTACCTACAGCCTACCTAACATATGTCTAAGCATAAGTAATAGCAGCAGCACAACATGGTGACAAATGGCAAGTACTTCTGGTAAAATACCTGATAAAAATGATGCAGAAGCATAAGGTAAACCATCCTATGTAAGTTACTGCATACAGTACATTTTTCAAGTCGTATTATTCTTGTGGATCCATGGCACATGTTATAGATTAATGGATGCAGTCTCAGTTCTGGTACATGCAAATTGTCATATATTTTGCTGTTCAATTCAGTAGGATGCAGATAATAATGGTACACAGATAGCCCAGGGTAGCACGATCTGGCCAGACCTTGGAAGCTAAGCAGGGTCGGTCCTGATTAGTATTTGGATGGGAGGCCACCAAGGAATTCCGGGGCTGCTATTCAAAAGCAGGCAATGACAAACCACCTATGAACGTCTATACCTTGAAACCCCATGAGGAGTTACCAGAAGTCGGCAGCAGCTTGACAGCAATAAATAAATAAATAAAAGATATTACTGCATGTTGTGCTGAAGTTTTATTGTTCAAACCCCAGCTGTGTTGTTTGGTCCAGTTTGAGAGCCAGTTTGGTATAGTGGTTAAGAGTGCAGACTCTAATCTGGGAGAACTGGGTTTGATTCCCCACTCCTCCACATGCAGCTGCTGGTATGACCTTGGGTCAGTCTCAAGTTCTCTCAGAGCTGTTCTCTCAAGAGCAGTCTTCGAAAGAGCTCTCTCAGCCCCACCTACCTCACAGCGTGTCTGTTGTGGGGAGGGGAAGGGAAAGGAGATTGTAAGCTACTCTGAGAATTTTGGGTAGTGAAGGGCAGGGTATAAATCCAATATCATCATCTTCTTCTTCTTCTTCTTCCATAAATGGGACAGATATAGATAAAAAATGGTGTCTACCCTAGGCTGCTTGAAGCTTTGGTGTATGTTTGTGGTGACAGATAGAGAGGGAAGCAGGATCACGGTGGCAGGTTCCACTCCAGACTCACAACTTGTCACTAGGATGCAAGGCCCTCTGGCATCACATGTTGTTTGGCCCACTAATTTTTTAAGAGCATGCTTGAAGCACTCAGAGTATGTCCACTAATCATTACAGTAATCCTTACAACAGGCCAGGATTATTATCTCCAACTTGTAGACAAGCATCTTCCGGTATACCCCCAGAAGAGAGAGAAGAACCTCCTGGAGTTCCCTGGCCTGAAAAAATATCAAGCTGTCCTCAGTCAGAGTCAGGGCTTTTCCAGGCCCTGGTGGAACTCTCTGCCTAACGACATCCATGCCCTGCGGGACCTACTGCAGTTCCGCAGGGCCTGTAAGACAGAGATGTTCCACCAGGCCTATGCTTGAGGACAGCAACGGTTTGCCATCAAGCCTGGCCTCCCCATCTCTCCCCCTCCGGGAGAGGATACGTAATGTTTAAACACCATCTGATCCATTTTAATTATTGCTGTTTTTATTGTTTAAATTTTAACCTGGATATATATAATTTATTGTATTTATTGGAACGTATTTAGTAAATTGTTGCTAACCACCCTGAGCCCCATGTGGGGGGAGGGTGGTCTATAAATCAGATGAAATAATTGTAAATAACAAGGGGGCTGAGAGAATAGCTCCTTGACCAAGGCCACTCATGGAGGGGAGCTCACGGCTGAGGTAAAATTTAAACCAGAGGGTCCTCTGGGCTTCCACGCTCAGCCACTCACATTGCACCTGATCTCTCTGGTAAGGATCTCAGTTCTTCATCCCCTCCCCCTTTCTCAGTGCCACATGCAAAAGGTTTATATGTGTTCGAGGCCTTCCCTGGTTAGCAACAACCTGCTGGTCTGCATGCGCCAGTTGAAATATGGGGGAAAACGTTAACTGGGCCGCTGCCATCCCCTGAGTATCTTCTTTGTGGACCTTTATTTTTTGCAGTAAAGCACTGTAGCCAGATTGTGGAGCTTTGCTTCTCCGTCTCGCCAGTGAGCCTCACAGCCTCCGCACCTCCACAGCATCACACGTTTCAGAGGTCAATTTTTTAAAAAATAGAAGCAGCCAGCTATTTTTATCCAGTCCCCCAGGGGCAGGAATATCTCATGCTTTTCATGTCTCTGCATGACTAGGGTCCCCATGTCAATCTGATCTTTTTTTATCTGAGTTTGTTTCCCTTGAAGGCACTAATCTGATTTTTCAATGTCTGTGTCATTCTCAGCTGAGAGCAGCTTTTCCTCCCCTCTCTGTGCCGCCGTAACCTCAAAATCCTGCTTCTCCTTCATTTTTTGTTGTTGAGGTTGCACCCTGGTGCACTTGGGTTTTCTTATCTGCTACTATTCAACTACTTGTTGAATCCCCCAACTCAGAGTCCGACTGACCACAGATGAAGTAACTGGTAAACTGAGAGACTGTACTGAACTGGACATTTAATCATGTTAACACTGACAGAGACATAGTGTTGTTCACAAGCATGTGTGTAGGCAACGTGCCCTAAAGTCACAGCTAACTTATGGTCACCCTGTAGAGTGGTGGCGGCAATGGTGGCTTGCCATTGCCTTCCTCTGCATAGTGACTTCCTTGGCGGTCTCCCAAATACTTAACAGGGCTGACCCTGCCCCGCTTCCAAGATCTGACGAGAGCAGGCAAGTGGGAGCCATCTAGGTCAGGGTGTTCACAAGCATAGAAGGCTTTAACAGGAACTCTTAAATTCTTTTATTAAAAAAATGATTTCAGTTTCTCACTTTTGAGGAGGAAATCTTGGAACCACATGGGTGGAAGTCTGATGAAAGTTCTGAATGTAGAAAAGTCTGAAGGTTTTCAGGGGGATGGGAGGACTGTCCTTTTTGTCCATTTCGGCTTCTCCTACAGTTGGTGTTTGCTGCCTGTCTGACCACAGCTGCCACATAACCCCAAATCGAAGCCCACCCATTGATCTAAAAGATGGGAAATGGCCATTTGACAGTGCCACCCAAAGTTATACCTTTACAAGCCCATTGACTTTAATAGATTTTGAAGCATGTAACTCTGCTTAAGACTGTGCTGTTAAAAGCAGAACAGATTGTGTAACGTGCATTTCTTTTTTGCCATCAAGTCACAGCTGACTTTTGATGACCCCATAAGATTTTCAAGGCAAGAGACCTTCAGAGGTGATTTGCCATTGCCTGGCTCTGTGTTGCAAACCCTGGATCTTCTTGCTGGCCTCCCATCCAAATACTGACCAGGACTGACCCTGCGTAGCTTCCAGAAACTGACAAGATCAAGCTAGCCTGGGCTATCCAGGTCAAGACATAACATGCATAGTGTAAAATATATATCTAATGTCTGCCCTGTAACTATAGTTGCAGAATTTGACATCTTTCCTTCCTTTTTGTTCCATCCCTTTTCATCCATTTCCTCTATTTAGATGAACTTTTACAACCCTTTTAACTCATGGCATTTTAGGCGCTCCAGCCTTGTGTACTGGGAGACCTTAAGGCATGTGATTTTCCAATACGCACGATTGCCATTTTGTGTGAACAAGGTGACGGGCATACTTTCTAACTGAGGTATGCACAAAACCATGCCCCTGACAAACCTGGTTTTCCATTCACATATATGGATGCCGGAAAATATGCCCATTGTCCTATTCATGTAAAATCGCAGCTGCTCGTATTGGGAGCATCGTGTATAGTGTGCTCTCCCAATATGCAAGGTAGCAGTACCCAAACTGTAACATCTGAAGAGGGCTTGCATTAATAAAGCTTTGATGTTTCCTTTGATGATCAACATTTGGGTTTTGTGGAGTGATTTTCTGCACTATTGTGTCTGTGCTGGCAATAACTCTATGGAGGATGTGTAAAGCCAGGGCTATTTCTGGGCAGGAACTCACAGGAACAGAGTTCCGGCTGGCTCCCAAGTTGGCCACGCCCAGCAGAAACTCATTAGCATAATAGGCCACACCCAACAGCAGAAACTCAATAGGATTGGCTACACGAGGGGTGTGTGGCCTAACATGCAAAGGAGTTCCTGCTACAAAAAAAGGCCCTGGGTTTGAACAACAAACAAGGTAAACAGAATAACAAGCAAAAGGTGGGTGTGGCTGGATAACCACACTTCTGGTAACATGTGGGTGCGGCCTAATGTGCTAATAAGCTGTGCTGTCAGGGGTGTGGCCCAATATGCTAATGAGTTCCTGCTGTTGGGTGTGGCCTATTATGCTAATGAGTTCCTGCTGGGCTTTTTCTACAAAAAGAGCCCTGTGTAAAGCTAAACTCTGTCCCAGAATATGAGAGAGGAATTTTCTCTCATCTAAGAAAACCCCAGATCAATAAACTGTGGGGATGTCTAGTTTATCAACTTGAACCATAAAGGAAGCAAATATGCATGTGTTTGTGTGGGTTGAGGGGGAATGCCCCTCCCTCTCTTTTGAACTGTGTATTCATTAGGACAAAATACTTAATAGAATGGAGCAGATGTTATAGTCCTCTGCAGTAGAACTCATTCCCTTCCCTTGTGGAACAGAAATCCTGTGTCACTTTGGGGACAGGAGCTCTGGAAATTGGACAGAAGCATAAACATATGTAGAGGTGGGGACTCGGTTGCCACAAATAGTGGTTCCCCAGAGGGGACTGAAACGTATTTGCTCTTTTAGGCAAGCATAGACCTCACAGGGCCCCCCACCTGTCTTTGGGGTTAATATGCTCAGTCAAATAGTTTTGGTTTCCAGGATCCACTATCAGCGATACTTCTCATAGTCACTGCCAACTTTAATCTGTTGTTTTCTTTGTTTCAGGAAAGGGATAAGTTCTATTTATCCCGCAGTGTCATCGTAGAATTATTGCAAGCTCTGAAATTAAAGTCACCTTTGCCAGATACGAACTTGCTGTTGTTGGTCCAGGTACATAACAGATTCTTTTCCTTTTGATTTTTTAAAGGTTTCTCCAGGAATATTTTTAGCGCTTTAACTCTTCTGTGTCAAAAAGCCCTCCCTGAGCTAATCAAGCATCTCCAGAAGGTGTTTTAAATTTAAAATGGGGGACTCTTACATTTAGATTTGTACTTGCATAATACATGCTCTGCCTGACCATTTATTTTTTCCTGTCTCATATTCTTCTGCTGCTTTGTAATTACAATGGAGAACAGCCAGCTTACAAATTAAGTTACAGCGATGACAATAAAACAATGCGTGGAGCCAGAGCTCTCTTCTGCTAGTCAAAGGGCCTGACCCTCTTGCATGGGGTATGTGTGATTTTTGTAGATTCCCCCTTCCCACCGCAGATCCCTCCCATGTTGCACTTTGCCCAATTCTGAGGGTCTCTCCGTCTTCCAAGAGCCATCTTTCAGGGAGGGGAGACTCTGCTCTGTTTGTACTTCTTTGGATGCAATTCAATAATAAAGTAAAAGCTGCATTCTCCAGCAGTTTGTTATCCGGGCAGTTCAGTTAATTGGCACCAGTCGGGGTATATCTGGGTATGAAAGGCCTGTCTTTGCACTTAGCAGTCTCTGTGGAGGGAGAAGAAAGAGGAATATCCACTCTCCTTTTGGATGCATGGAGGAATTAGGCAGTTCAAGACAAGCTAGGTTCAGCTCCCCGGGCAAGATAGCCTTGCCCTACCCCATAGTCGTCAGCTTAAAGGAGAGGTGGACCTAAATCCAGATCTCTGCCCTCTCTTTGTAGTGTCACATAATATGGCTAGCAATACACCATCAACAAGCAAAGGAGAGGAAAGAAATATGTTGTGTTGCAATAACCCAGAAACTGAACAGAACTGCTCTGTTAACCTGCACATTGATTAACAGGTAACCCCAATTCCTTTTACTGTCCAAACAATTAAAAACCCCACTCTAGATCTTTTCTACATCAGCCCAGTTACAGTGCTTCTATAATCCATTGGCCTGGTGTGGGAAACCAGGGAGAGGTTGGCTATCTTGCTAGTGTATCGTCTGCCCAGCACACTGGCAGATACCCTGCTGAGACTGATTGAGGTGGTCTCGGAGTGGGCAGTGCATTTCCCTCAGCTGATAGTACTTGGGGATCCCAGTGCAGGATTTAATGCAATTCCGCAGGGCTTGTAAAACGGAGCTGTTCCGCCAGGTCTTTGGTTGAGGTGGTGGATGTCTAAATACTTTGGCCTCCTCTGCATATACTGCCTGGGTGAACTGCCCTTTCTAGAGATTTCTGTGGCATCTGTTGAGTGGGTTCTCATCTTTGTTAGCGGATGCCGACCACAGGAGGCGTCCGTGGATACTGTAAATTGAAGTTTTCTGCCATTTGTTGCTGTTTTTAGGAATTTTAACTTTATATGAATTTGTACTTGTATTTGGATGTATTGCTATGTTTGTATTTTAACTGTTGTGACCCGCCCTAAGCCCACTTGTGGGGAGGGCAGGATATAGATCCAGCCTCAGACTTCATGTCTGCTGTGGCAGCATTGGCACTTTCCCAGATTGTTTAGGTTTCCACACACAAAACAGGCCATATGCTGGATTTGTTTTTCTGTGCAGGGATTGATCTGGTAACCACAGTTCATGCAGAACTGGTGCCATGGACAGATCATTACCTACTTAAGACCAAGTTGAGAATTGTGATTCTCCTCTGCTTGGGCCAAGGGCTGATTTATGCCAGCCCACAGAGACTTAGGGATCCATTGGGTTTTGGGAATGGCCAATTCTGCCCAGTCTTGAATTTGCTGTTTCTGGGGAAGGTAATTGAGAGGGCAGTGGCTGAGCCACTCCAGGAATTCCTGGATGAAACTTAAGAACATAAGAGAAGCCAATGTTGGATCAGGCCAATGGTCCATCTAGTCGAACACTCTGTCACACAGTGGCCAAAAATACCAGGCGCCATCAGGAGGTCTAGCAGTGGGGCCAGGGCACTAGAAGCCCTCCCACTGTTGCCCTCCCCCCAAGTACCAAGGATACAGAGCATCACTTGCCCCAGCCTGAGAGTTCCTATCTATACCTTGTGGCTAATAGCCACTGATGGACCTCTGCTCCATATGCTTATCTAATTCCCTCTTGAAGCCGTCCATGCTTGTAGCCGCCACCACCTCCTGTGGCAGTGAATTCCATGTGTTAATCACTCTTTGAGTGAAGAAGAACTTCCTTTTATCTATTCTAACCCGACTTCTCAGCAATTTCATGGAGTGCCCACAAGTTCTTTAGATCCATTCCAGTTTGGTTTCAGACCCTGGTATGGGATGGAGATCGCACTTGTGGCGCTGGTTGACAATCTTTGATGGGAGATGGACTGTGGTGGGTCAGCGCAGCTGATTTTACTAAATCTTTCAGCAGCATTTAACATGGTTGACCACCTGATACTGATTGACCACCTCACCTCCTTAGGGATACAAGGTGCTGTGCTTCAGTGGTTTTCCTTCTTCCTATGAGGACATTTACAGAAGGTTGTTGATGGTGTTAGGAGTTCACCTAGTATGCTGCTTGTTTGGGGTATTCCTCAGGGTGTGATCCTGTCACCAATGTTATTTAACATCTATATGTGCCCTCTGGCTGATCTCATCAGGGGCTATGGGGTGGGGTACCATCAGTACGAGGATGACACCCAACTCTGTCTCCTGCTTGGTGATCAGCTGGAGTCTGATCTCCCTGAACTTATTCCATTGTCTAGATGCTGTGGTGGAGTGGTTGAGGGAAAACTGGCTGAAGCTAAATCCTCCCAAGACTGAGGTCATATGGCTGGGTCAGCGCAGACCTGTTGGCAACATACAACTCCTGGCTCTTGATGGGGTTCCACTTACATTGCTGGACTCTATCAGGAGCCTGGGGGTATGGTTGGATACCTCATTCTTATTTGAGAAGCAGGTGTCCAACATTGCATGGACTGCCTTTTACCATTTACAGTGAGCTCGCCATTTAGTCCCCTACCTGTCTTGTTCCAGCCTTCCTACAGTGATCCATGCCACAATCACCTCTTGTGTAGATTACTGTAATTCGCGCTATACAGGGCTGCCCTTTGAGGCTGCTCCAGAAGTTTTAGGTAATTCATAATGCAGCCGCCAGATTGTTGGCTGCTGTAACGTGGAATGCATGTATCCATCCTGTGTTGGTGGCGCCGGGCCCTCAGGAAGTCTGCTTGGGTACCACCAGGACCTTGGCACTGTCCTGATAGAGTGCTTGCCAGACGAGGTTCGAGCCCTGCAGGACCTTCTGCACCGGGCCCCCAGGAAGTCTGTTTGGCTACCACCAAGACAAGGTTCTTTTCCACCTTGGCACTGTCCTGATAGAGTGCCTTGCCAGACGAGGTTCGAGCCCTGCAGGACATTCTGCAGGACTTGTGAGTCAGTCTTGTTCGGGGAGGCCGCCTTCTGATCTTCTACAGCTTGGTGTAGTGGTTAAGAGCAGTAGTCTCTAATGTGAAGAACTGGATTTGATTCTCGTCTCCTCCACATGAAGCCAGATCTCTCAGAGCTCTCCCAGCCCCACCTCCCTCACAGGGTGGGGAGGAAGGGAAGGTGATTGTAAGCAGCTCTGAGAGTCCTTTGGGTAGTGAAGGGTGGGCTATAAAATCAACTCTTCTTCTTGTTCTCTTGGCCCTCCTGGAACTCATCTACCCATTCACGTCTCTATATTTTATTATTTATGAATGGCTGATGTCTGTTTTTTATTTTACATATTATGTATTTTCTAGGCAATTGTTATTGTTGTAATCCACCCTGAGCCTTCAGAAAAGGGTGGAATAGAAATCTAATAAATAAATAAAATCCAGAAATGTATAGAATTGGGTCTCACAGAGTATGTGTGGAGTCCCACATGAACTTTGTGGTTTGGAGTCTTGCTGCTCCCCCTAACAATGCCTGTATTCCCTGAAGAACTGGTGCTGTGAGTCAGGGCTTGAACGAAAAGCCATAGGGCATGAGAGGCTGTGGTAAGGAGGGGCAGCTGGGTGAATTCTCCCTTTCTTGACTGTACAGCTTGCTTGATTTAACCTAATTTTCGCTCCCTTTTGCCCCTTTCATTAGCTCTCTCTCCCTAGCTTTCTCACATCCTTCTTCCTTCACTGCCTCTCTTGCCCTCATTTGCTCTCCCACTGCTTCTGCTATGGCGTCCTTCCTATGCTTGCTTGCCTGTTGTCTCACTTTCCTTTGCTGCTGCCACCTTTCTCCTTCTCATGCTTCTCATTCCCTCACTGGCTGGCTCATTCACCCACCTGTCTGCTGCAGCCACCCTCTTTTCTTCCTTCTCCTGTTGTTTTTGTTTTCTGTACTTCCTGCCATCTCCTGCTCTTCCTCACCTGCCTTCCTCCCGAAAAACGATGGCCAAGATCTCATGAGTCATGACATCATGTTATGAGACCTCTTTCTCCCCCCCCCTCCCGACATTAATTTTTTTAAAACCTTTGGGATCTGTAGAAAAATACCTCGGATGTGTACCTGGCCCCATTCTCTGGGGGTTTTGATATGCAGAGAGGACAGGTTCAGAATTAGATATATGATGATTATGTCAATCACCCCGAGCATTTTGTTTTGTTTTTATGAAACCTACCACCAAAAAATTTCATAGATTGACTTCCAGTTCTAATTCTGTGAGAGTGGGGGAGAAAACATCTCTCTGTTTTCAACAACAAGGCAGTGTGTGGTGAAGGTGAACAGCCTTTTTGCACAGGTTTGCGTCCCCCTTTGTATGCCAATGCTTAGAAACTTCAGTGTGTTTACTTGAGATAGTGCCATGGTCCCTGTATTCCAGGAAACATTGGCACAGATGGAACAGTTTTATATGGAGTCCAAGCTTGCTCAGTATTGCCTGCTCTGGTTAGCAGTGGCTCTCCAGAATCTCAAGCAGAGAGGAGTTTTATCTGTTGCCTGGGATCGTGCCAGGAACTGAACTACCACAAACTGTGAACCCTAGAACATAGCCCAGAATCCTTAACATGCTGAGTTT